CTACTCCAGGTCTTCTTCAGTTCCACATACGAGGTCTATCCAGAAGGTGTCCAGCCATGTAATATGAAAAAGAGGGATATCTACTGAAGAATACACAAGAAACAGTGACGCCTCAGTCCCCTTCAAGGGGACATTGCAACTTCACACAGTTCTCCCAATTTCCATCAGCTGCCCTGTTGTATTTTCCTGAATTTCATTGATGGTCTGAAATCTTTTCCCTTTCAAAAGTGATTTTAGTTGTGGGAAAGGCCAGAGTCACAGGGCACCACATCTAGGCTGTAGGGGGGCTGAGTCACCTGGGTGATTTGATGTTTCACAAAAAAACTCTGCATAAGACATGATGCATGAGTGAGCGCATTATCATGATGAAGCTGCCAATCACCTGCTGTGGCCTTCTGAATCATTGAATTAGTTTCTGTGGAAACTTTTTTTTAAAGATTATTTTCACTATTCAGGGTGTCTTGGAAGTCTTTCTAAATTTGGGATGGTCCTGGCTGATGTGGCTCAGTGGATTGAGCATCAGCCTGTGAACCAAAGGGTCACTGATTTGATTCCTGGTCAGGGCACATGCCTGGGTTGCAGGCTAGGTTCTCAGCTGGAGGGGTGCAAGAGGCAATTGGTCAATGCTTCTTTCACACATCCATGTTTCTCTTTTTCTCTTCCTCCCTCCTTCCCCCTCTTTAAAGAATAAATAATAAAAATTTTAAAATCTTTAAATTTGGGATACATTTTTCTATTTCTACAAAAGAGGTCACTAGGAGTTTAATGGGTATTGTACCAAATCTATAGATTACATTGGGTGGTATTGACATTTTAACAATATTATGTCTTCTAATCCATGAACATGGGATGTCTTTCCATGTACTTGTTTCTTAGAAATTTTTTTCAACACTGTTTTGTAGTTTTCAGTGTATAAGTCTTCCACCTCATGGTTAAGTTTATTCCTAAATGTACATATATTTTATACTATTGTAAATGGGTTTTTCTTCATTTCCTTTTGAATTGTTCATTGAGTATATAGAAATACAACTGATTTTTGTGTTGATTTTGTATCCTGCAACTTTTCTGAACTCATTTATTAGTTCTAACAATTGTTGTGGGATTTAAAGGATTTATTAGTTCTAACAATTGTTTTGTGGGGTTTGAAGGTTTTTTTACAGATAAGATCATGTTGTCTGTGAACAGAGATAATTCTCCTTTTCCAATTGGTGGGCCTTCTATGTCTTTTTCCTGCCTGACTGCCAGCCTAGCGTTCCCACTACTGTGTCGAATAGAGCGGTGAAGTCGGCATTCTTGCCTTGTTCTTGGTCTCAGAGGAAGAGCTTTCAATCTTTTGTCGCTGAGTATGTTGTTGGCCGTGGCCTTTTCGTGTGTATACCCAGCTGCTTTTAAATGTCTTAATTTCCCCAAGATCTCACCTAAGATTTCCCTAAGATCTTCCCTAAGATCTCAGGGCTTTACATGTTGTTGCGTCCCTCTGCCTATCATCTCCAAGCCTCCAAACCCCCGTGGGTCTGCAGTTCTACTGCGGTTTTCATGAGCCACGGCACCTGCCACTGCTGACAACAGGCTCCAAACTGTGCCCCTGCTCCTACCCGAGTGGGAGGAAACAGAAACCAGTCCCCGGGACGGCCCCAGTCACGCCAAAGCATTGCAAACAAATTCTTTTCTTTTCTGGAAGGAGAATTCAAGAATTGGGTGACTTCCTTCTGATTGTGCTGGACCGGGGAGGGGGTTGGCAAAGATATGCAAAAACATCATGAAACTTCCTACGGCTTTTAGTTTTGCTTTTTTAAAAAAAGATTTTATTTATTTTTACTGCACGTCTCCAACCAGGGACCTGGCCAGCAACCCAGACATGTGCCCTGACCGGGAATCAAACTGGCAACACTTTGGTTTGTGGGATGACACTCAACCCACTGAGCCACCCAGTCAGGGTGTAATTTTGCATTTTCTTAATCAGGCATTTGTTGGTAGTTGCAGCCCCTTGACTGGCTTCTAGGGCTCCCACCCGGGTATTTCTAGTCAATCTGTTTGTTGTTGTTTTCTTGATCTTTCCACAGGAGTAGAAGGGTCTGGAGCGTTTGATATCACTGTCAGAAGCTCTAATGGTTTTATTTTTTAAAAAAACTTTCACATTTAGGTATATGATATCCAACTTGAATTAGACTTTGTATGATTGCCCAGTTTTTAATTTTAACTTCATTATGTTCTCATTATGAGGTGTTGGGAGGGTAACCTCTCCATACCTCACTTTCTTCATCGTAGTATCTACCTCACAGAGTTGTTGTGAGGCATTTGCATACATGTATGTGTGTAAAAGACTCAGAAATGTGACTGGAAAATAGTACACCCTTAATAAAGGCTATTTGCAGTGAATATATGTGTATCCTTTTGATCCAATGCCTTGGAAGCTTAGAGAAGACCGACCTAATTAAGTCTAAGAAAAAGGCCCAAATCTACCACTCGGCGTAACCTGAAGACCCTGATGGCTGGGTGGGAGCACTGAGAAAAGCCTAGTTGGTTTGAACAATGGGTTCTATTGTGCTAAATAAATGTGAATTTCCTTTTCTTATTTGTGCCACTATGAATACAAAGTGTTCCGTGCAAGTAGTTTCATTGATCTAATCATTAGCTCAATTTATGCAAACCTCTCATGTCTTTCTTCTTTATTTCTTGAGTGAACAGAAAAAAAATTGTTTTGTTCAAAATTTCCTAGAACATAGAGGGCCCCTGTACTCAAGTTTCCTTAATAATTTTGATTGAAACATGAACTAGGTTTTGGGATTAGACTTTGGAAGGCCAGAAGCTGTATGTGAATGTAGAGGACAGTTGATTGGTTTCAATTGGTCATTGTTTGTTGTGTTTTATTTAAAAATTTCCTGGAGTATTTTTAAAATACAAAAATAAATATAACAAGAACATAGTCATCCTGTACTCTTCAGCTAGATTGTACAAATTTTAACTTTGTGGCTCAACTCATTCTTCCCCAGAAATAAACACTACTCCGAAGTTAGTGTGTATTTTCTCCAGGTTTATATTCTTTTGTCAAATATGTATGTATTAAAAATAATATATAATGTTTTGTTCTTAAATTTAAGATATAATAATGCATGTTCCATCTTTTCAATTTGTAACACGGTACAGCCCAGAGGGGGCCCCCAAAAAAAGATTTGGAATGGGGTCCAGAACTCAAGGTATCCAGGAAATATTAGGATGTCCTCACCCCTTCCCCCACAATAGGTGTGAGCTGGGGGAAGGGACACATGAAGCAGGAACATGCAGAGCTGTTTTGTACAGCTTCAGCTTTGCAGTTAATTCATGGCATGGTCATTTAACACATCTATAACCTTTAACTGGCTGCATAAATATGTTAAATAGCTGTGCCCATGCTCTGAGCCAGGGGGATGGAAAGGGACTTCCCTCCCCAAGATGTAACTGGGGGCAGGTCCCCCAGGTGACAGTGCCTGTGTGAGAGCTTGGAGAAGATTGGCTCCATGATATGGAGCCACACCTGCTCAGACTCATGATGGCAGCCCAGTAATACTTGGAATAATACGGGAATGCTGGCAGGTGTAACTCATTGTGGGAGGAGTTGGGAATGGGGCTGCAGAGGAAGATTGGCGCGGGGATTAAAACCCAGACGCAGCAGCCATTGAGGAGAGGACCACCTGGCTGTGGCAGTGCAGAGAGACACGCACTTCTGGCAGAGTGGGGACCCCCGCAGCTGGGGTGGAGAATCACCACATAGCTTTAGCAGGGTACCGCCACTTGGCTTTGGCAGAGTGGCGCCCGCCCCCTCCCCACAGCTATGGTAGAAGAGGACCACGCGGCTTTGGGGTGCTCCCTTTGGCCACGTGGCCTGGGAAGCAGGAGAGACTTTTCCAGGAAAAAGGCTGAAAGAACTCTTGCCAGCAGGCCATGAGAAGGTGCCACATGGCTTTGCATTAATTAGAGATCCTGCTTGGATGGCGACACAGCTGATGGTGCCAGCAACCCAAATCGTGGATGCCTACTTCTTTTCCGGAGTTATGGTATCCCAAATTAGGGCAGGGGGAGAAGGAAGCACTGTGGGCGTCTAAGGGTATCAAAAAAACTTTAATATTTTAATGAAGACATTAGGTCACTACTTTAAGTCTGTATAGCTTTAAATAAACATTTCCTTTCCTTTTCACAAATCTCTGGCATTGAGAGACGGCTTTCCTATGTAGTGGCAGACATCACGGACCTGGTAGGGGGTCCTTTCAGTAATAGTATACTGTGACCTCCCCCCGGTCTGTTCTGTAACAGATTTGCTTTTTCGCTTATCATTTTCAAAGACTTATTCATTATGATACATGGATTATTATAGATCCACTTTTTTCTTTTTTATCGAATTATAGTTGATGTGCCATATTATACACGGTGGGGCAAAAGCAGGTTTAAGGTTGTGAGTACATGAAACAGTTTATTTTTGTATTACTACTTATAAATTGTTGTGTCATTTTCCATGCGAACACCTGTAGACCGACTTCCCCCCGCCCTGTGCTGGTTTCGAGTGCACATGACAGTGATCTGACCTCTCGTGCCCTGGGAAACAGTAGGGATGGTTCCCATCAGTCACCAGACAAGTTTATTGACCACACTCCCTATGCTGTGCATTACATCCATGTGACTTGCTTTATTATTTTTTTTACTTTAAAAAATACACTCTTTGGCTTTCTTTTATTTCTGGAGGATTACACAAAATATGAACCACACAGTGGAGTGTCCCAGCCAGGCATCCTCCGTGGGGTGTCAGCTGACGCTCTTTGTCCTGCACCATGGGCTTCTCCATGCCCCTGCCGCCTGGCCCCCTCCCTGGCCATCTGTCCGTCCATCCATGTGAGCTGGCAGAAGCCCTGTTTGGAGGAGGAGGTCCTAGTGGAGAGGACGATGAGGGCGCTGTTGCAGCTGTTGGCTTTCTGCTGCAGCAGCCTGCCCACCAGCAGCGCGGAGGCCTGGCCCCGGGCTCCGCTGCCTTAGTCCGCCACGTTTCCCGGTAGCTCGCGGTCAGCCCGCACTCGCTGGGGTCCAAACCGTGCCAAGCACTCTTCTGTGGCCGGTTGGGGTGCTGCACCATGTCTTAGCCCAGGAAGGAGAAAATGTGACCCTGGGCTTCACCTGGCCCGGGGAGCCTGAGAGCAAGGCTCTGAAGTTGACGATGGGCACGGTGGCTCGGTCCACCTCCCGCACAGTCCAGTTGAGGCCCTGTAGGTGCAATGACAGGAAGGCATGCAAAGTGCCCTCCCGCCCAGTGGCACTTACCTGCTGGAACCCTGGAGGTTGGCATTGTGGATGCTGTGCAGGTCACCAGGCTGCCACCTTCTGAATGCAACCAGGTGCGGCACCAGCTGGAAGTCCCAGTGGGTGGCACAGGAGCGCAGGTGGGACGGGCTGGCCAGGGTGCAGGTGGGAGCTGAGGTGCAGCACCCCAGTGTACGGTTGGGGGTCCAGCAGGCATGGAGGCCTTGCCAGGATGCCGTCTGCCCACCAGGGCTGTGCTGTATAGGGGGCTGCTCCCACCCGGGGTGCGGATTACACTCGTGTAGCTGGGCAGGGCTGCAAATTATGGCATTTATTCTATAACCAGAAGTTTGTACCTGATAATCCTGTTCACCTATTTCATCATCCCTCACCCTCTTCCCCTTTGGCAACTGCTAGTTTGTTCTTTGTATTTATGAGTCCGTTTCTTTTTTTTGTTTGTTTTGTTTATTAGTTTGTCTGGGTTTTTAGTTTCGCATATAAGCTGATTCTTGGAAGGATGGGGACAGAGGTTGGAGTGGAGTTTTGATTCAATTCAGTAATGCTGCTCAGTCTTGTATTTGGTCCCGAGCCCAGTGCCTGACACATGTGCCAGGTAGACACATAACAAATATTGTGTTTTGTGGGCCGTGGTAGGCACATAATAAACATTAATCGACAGGTTGAAGGGAACCGAATATACTTAATGTCTACCAGGCAAAATGCAAAAAGGCATACAAGATGTGACCCCAGCCCTCTGGGGCTCTTAGCACAGTTGGGCAGATAATACACACCCACAAAGGAATTATATAACAGCACAGGAAGGTTCACCATCCATATGTTTGGAGCTCTAGGAAGCAAGGGCCAGGATTCAAAGAGACAAACCCCTGGGGTTTGGATGTGGCTACTAACAGAGAATGTGGGGAGGGGACTAGTTCAAGCTGGGCCTAGGAGGACAGGACGGGTTTTAGGGAGGAGTAGGGTGGAGAGGGAGTGGGCGGCATGAGCGTGGTGTCCTCCCAGGGACTGCGTGGACTGGACAAGCAGAGGTGGGGAGGAGGGTGTTGACTGGTGATGGGGAGGCGAAGACAGAGCGTGAAAGGTGCGTGGGCCAAGTGCCTATTTAGAAATCAAGATTTTGCTCTTGCAGGCTCAAAAAGAGTAGAAGATGATTCAGTCTCTTCACCCAGACTCCATTTGGGGCCATGGTGTGAGGCCCCTGGCTCAGGCATGCAAGGGTTTGTGTGCGTTGTGACTCTGTGTGGTCATTACGTGGTTTCCCATTGCTGTGGCTTAGGTTTGTCCCTGTAGGGGCTTCTAGTTGTGGACGACAGAAATTGGGGTGTGCTGAAAGCTTTCTATTTGGCTTGTTCCTATTATTCAGGAGACAATGTCCTCTAAGCAAAGGGCTGATTCTAGCATTCTCCACCCTTGGTTCCTTATCCCTCTGTACACAGTAGTCTCCCCACCCCGCCACTTATCCAGGGGTTCACTCTCCACTATTTCAGTTACCTGTGGTCAGCTGCAGTCCAAAAATATTAAATTGGAAAGTTCCAGAAAGAAACAAATCGTAAGTTTCGATTGGGAGCCATTGAGAGTAGTGTGATGAAATCTTGCTCTGTCCCATCTGGGATGTGAGTCATCCCTTTGTCCAGCGTATCTGCCTGTGTACCCACCTGCTCTCTAGTCACTTAGCAGTTACCTGGGTTATCAGATCGACCGTCATGGCATCGCAGTGCTGCTGTTCAAGTAACCCTCGTTGTACTTAGTAACGGCCCCGAAGCAATCAGTGGTGATGCTGGCAATTCGGATGTGGCAGCGGGAAGTCGTAAAGTCCTTCCTTTGAGTGGAAAGGTGAAAGTTTTTGACTTAAAAAAGAGAGACAGAAAGTCGTATGCTAAGATCTATGGCAAGAACAAAGCCTCTGCCCGTAAAATTGTGTAGAAGGAAAAATAAATGCTTGCTAGTTTTGCTGTCAAACCTCAGACTGTAAAGTTATGGCCACCGCGCATGCTGAGTGCTTAGTGAGGTGGCAAGGCCGTACATTCGTGGGTGGAAGATGTGAACAGATAGAGACCACACTCACAGGACTGTTATTCCGCTGTATTGTCGTAAGTGTTCTACTTTATTACTAGTTGTACTTGTTAACATCTTGTTGTGCCTAATTTCTAAATTCAACTTCAGCATATAAAGGAGAAAACAGCATAGACAGCGTTTGGTGCCCTCTGAGGCCTCAGGCATCCGCTGAGGGTCTCGTTTTTGCCCCCTCCCATGACGGGGACTACTGTTCCCTGCCTCTGCCGTTCCTCCTCAAGGGCTGACAGGGCAGAGAAGCAGAAAAAGGGTGATTTTCCCTTGGACTTCCGAGCTGGGTTCTTTGACATTTTGGGGGCCGGCATGTGGGCCAGGGGGCCTGTCGGTGACCTGCCCCCTGAGTCTCCACCCCCGACTCCCACCTCCTGGCCTGCGGGCCCTGCTGGATTCCCTGGGGCTTTCTCTCCGGGTCAGAAACCTTTCTACGCGTTGGGTTGGCGAAGGTCTTCTCCCTCCTCTGGCTTCCTCGTCCACAGCAGCCTGGATGTTCCTCGCTGCGTGGAGGCCGGTCGTGATGGATAGGCTTGTCTATGAAGCGTGGGGCAGGCAGGCGCACTCGCCAGCAAGGTGGATGCGGCCCTCTGGCTGGAAGAGCCGCTGCGGATAGTCCTCGAATTGGTACGGGGTGAACTCAACGAAGGCTTCCGCGACGAGGGGATCCAGAGAGCACTGCCTGAGCGCAGAGGAGCGGCACATGCGCCGCAGCCCCTCCTTGGGTGTCTGGTGCACAGCAGCCAGGTCCTCCAGGGCGATATCCGCCACCTGGTCGTGCTTCACTATGAAGAAGAGGGGATCCTGGTCCCCAGCGTAGGAGGCCAGCAGGACGGATGCCCTTGCCGCGGGGAAGGCTGTGGCTGGGGTAGTGGATGTACTTCTCCCGCCGTGAGGCTGGTAGGTGATGGAGACCCTGCCCCGAATGCCATCCTGCTCCCAGAAGGGCTCGTTGCAAGCCAGAACCACCTCGGTAGCGCTGGTGTAACGTGCCGAGTGGAGCGCGTCCACCCTGTCTAGGGAGAGCGGTGGCGAGAAGGTGACGAGGCGCGTGGCCTTGGCTGAAGCAGAGATGACGACAAAATCCGCGGTGAGGTTGTGCAGTGCTGAGTTGGACTCGCCCACCGGGTAGGAAATCTGGACCTCAGGCCCATCCCTCACTACCATCTCCACCCTGGAGCCCAGATGGATGGTACCAGGCTTCAAGCTGGCGCTGAGGGCTTTGGGGAGCTGGTTGAAGCCACCGTGATCTCGGTAAAGCTGCAGCGGTGAAGAGAGGAGAGCGGGCGAGGGTGGGAGGCGGAAGGCCACGTTCCCCGGCTGCCTGCAGTGCTCCTGGTCCGAAAGGGGAGGAAACCAGCTTCATATCCATACTTCATAAATACCATCTTAACTAATCTCTGCAAGGGAAAGATTATTCTTGAATGATAGTTTGGAACACTGACACCCAGAGAAAAGGGAATTTCCCAAGAAGACAGCCTGTGGGTGCAGCCACCATGCGATTCTGCCTCCCAGAAGGAGTTGTTACAGACCTGGGTTTGGATTCTGGCTCCAGCCCTTGGTCCAGTTGTGGGAGCTTGGCGGGTAACATAATTTCTCTGGGCCTCAGATACCTCACGGGTAAAATGGCTCTGAGTAAGAGTACCTACCTTCCAGGTGATCGTAAGATTAAATGTGGTAATTTGTGGAAAGTGCTTAGGGCAGTGCCTGGCCCATAGTAACTGCTCAATAATCAAAGTTTCCTTTCTCTGCTCTGAGTGTTGGAGGAAAGGGCAGGCTCGAGTCCCCGTCCAGGTCAGTCTTGCCCATTGAACCACAGGTCGCCATTATCTCAGGGGAACCTGGAGTTTTGAGACAGTAACTGAGGGCCTGGAGACCCCGCGGGTTACACGTAGTTTTTTTCTTTTTCTTTTTCCATCCAAGGAGGCAAACCCAGAGGCCAATCGCTGAGATCCCTCCAAAGCCTGCTTACCTGGTGACCAATGTCCTGCAGGGCCTTGGCTGCCACCAAGCCTGACATGCCAGCCCCTGCTACCACCACGAGTTTGGCCAGCAGAGAGGGATGGAGGCCCTCCCGGGCTGTGACGAGGAGGGACTCATATTCAGGGCCCTGGAAAAACTTGCCCGGGTCCTCACAGTAGCCAAAGCAGCTGGGGGTAGCCAACAGGAACCCCAAGGTCAGGATTCCTGGAGCAAAGAAAGGAAGGGGGCCTGCCTTTCTGGAACCCAGCTTGGTACCCCACCCTACGCAGGGTCAGCTTGGCTGTGTGCATGAGCGAGGATGGTAAGATCAGGCAGCGTCTATCGAATGTGTGGTTGTAAACACGTGTATTTGTGATTGTGTCTCTGTTGGCATGATTGTGTTGTGTGGGGTATAGATGTATGTGTGAAGTGTGTTGATGTTAGTTGTGCAATAGTGATGGGGGACTGCAAGTTCATGGGTGTGCACATGATTGAAAACTCATGAGTGTGTGCAGGTTCACATTGGACTATAAATATGCTGGCTTCTGGTGGTGTGTAGGTGAGCTTGTCTGTGATATGCTGCTGTGATTGTGAGTTTGTGAGTGCTGCCCTGTATGACCACGCATTGCCTGTGATTGTATGTGAGGGAGGTGTTTGTGGGACAGAGAGAGCACCTGAGTAAACGTGTGTGGGAATCTGTGTGGGGAGGTGAGGTGGGTTTAGTGGGTGCTGTTGGCCTGGGTTTGGAAGAAGGGGATGCTATGTGCTCATTCCCCTCCGTTTGAAAAAGAATATATGGTTCCTCGTGTTCTTGTGTTTGATTCTGTGTGTGCATTTGAGTGTGAGGCTGGGTAGGGGAGGCTGCTGGTGTCTGTGTTCTTTGGGAACATATGCATTTGTGAGAGGATATGTGTGTGTGTGAGTGTGTGAAGCAAAGTTCTCTGCAGGGAAAGGGAGTGCGGCAGTTGTGACATACTAGTGCCCCAGGGGACCTTGGCAATCCTATGCTCTTCTCCAGCCTCTCAGCATTTTTTCAAGGCCCTCCAGGACGTGCGTAAGCCCCGAGTGACTTGGTTTTCTTCGCCACAATTAACTGCTCTGAGTACAGAGAAATCCACGGGGGACTCTGAAGCAAGAGGCCCTGTGGCTTCCTCAGTGTTGCCAGTTCTAAAAGGGAAAAGCCAGCAAGGTGCTGGGACACCTTGTGCCCCTTTGCAATGGCTCTAGGTTTTTTTCTGGCAGGTGAGAACCCCTTAGTCTAGTCTTTGTACAGGTGTGACAGTTGAGGCTCACAAAAGAAAAGGGACCCTCAGGGGCTGCCCTGGGGAAGAGGCAGGGCACCCAGCCGCCAAGAGAGCCTTTCCCAGTGCCAAGAGAGCCTTCTGTAGGGTGAGTCCTCAGAAAAGAGGAGGGGGGCAACCACCCCCCACGGAGGGAGCCTCAAACCTCAACCGGCTTCCCCTCCCCCAGGCCCCTCCCCCAGGCCCACCCCAACCTCCCTAATTCGTTCTCCACCCCTGACAAATTTCCCCATCTTCCTGAACTACCATCATCCCTGTCTCAGACCCCACGTCCTTCCTCTTGAACGGCCCAGGCCCCAGACTCATTCTCCAGCCCTACATCCATTCTCTTTACTCACTTCCAACACCTGGACCCATGTGTAGCCCCTGATCTAGCCCCTGTCACATTTCAGCCCTGCCCAAACTGGATGGGGTTCTGTGCCCAGACTGCCCTTAGGGTCCATCTTGACTTCCCTGGCCCAGCCCCACCCCTCACTCTAGCTCTTCTCCGTATCTCAGTGTTCAAGACCTCCTTCAGACCTCAAGAAGGGACCCTACTCACCCCTCATCTTGACCATGGACCTGCAGCTCACTGCACCCTGGGCGGCTTCTTCTCTTTATGAAGAGCCAGTTCCACTGCAGCAGCCGCTGGCCTCAGCCCACCAGCCTGCCCCAGGGCCCTATTGGCTGGCCTAGCAGATAGAGAAACTGTTCCCTCAAGGCCTGGGCTGTCAGGTGACATGACCATGGTGACTCAGTCCCACCCCCAGCCTCATCTTCTGCATCTCCCAACCTTCCTCCTGGCCTCGCTCCCCTTCTAGAAAAATGAATTCTTCCAGCCAGACCCCAGCACCTGAGTGCAGAGGAGGGACCTCTTTTTTTCTCAGAAGAGAGGTGTGGGAGGGATCATAGAGGACCAGGTTCTTGCATTATTTGAAAATGCCTTCATTTTTAGCTGCATTTTTAATTGTTGAGTTTCATCTTAAAATTTTATGGCTATTGATTTAAAATAAGATTGTATTTATTTTTAGAGAGGGGGGAAAGGAATTAGAAAGAGAAGGAGAGAAACACTGATGGGTCGCCTGTTACCCACCTCTATCTGGGAACTTGGCCCACAGCCCAGGCATGTGTCCTGACTGGGAATTAAACCAGCGACTTTTTGGTTCACAGACCAGTGCTCAGCCCACTGAGCCACACCAGTTAGAGCTTGTTGATACTGCTTTGACCAAGTATAGAATTCTACAGTTCAGACACCATTTTCACAAGGGTCCTGGAAGGCATGTCTTCAATCTTTTTTTGGAATCCAGTGTTCCTGATAAAGTCTAATCTTAATTGTTTTTTGTTCCTTTTCAAGTAATCTTTTATCTTCCCCATCACTTGGAGCATATAAAGATTTTCTTCAGTTCATAGAAATTCTGCAATTACATGAAGACATGTATGGATGTCAACTTTTTCCCAGTCATTTGGTTGGCAGACAGGAGCCCTTTGCATCTAAAGACTTCAGACTTTGCCAGCTCAGGGAATTATCTTTCTATTGTATCAGTTATTTCTATTTTTTAAGAAATATTTTATTTGTTTATTTTTAGAGAAAAGGGAAGGGAAGAAGAAAGAGAAGGGGAAAAAACATTAATGTGAGAGAGAAACATCAATTAGTCTCAACCTGGACTGAACCCAAAACCCAGACATGTGCCCTGACTGGGAATCAAACCAGTGACGTTTTGGTTTGCTGGATGACACCCAACCCACTGAGCCACACCAGTCAGGGCAGTTGTTTCTATTCTTCTCCTAGAATTCCTAGTAGGTTGAACTGAAATATTTGTCTTTTCATCATTTATTTTTTTCTTAGAGTTTCCATTTCTCTATAATTTTGTCTACATTTTAAAAATGATCGTTATGTAACTTGTATTTTCCTGTATGTGTCTGCCACTTGCTTTTCTTTCCCTCAATAATGTATTTATGAGCCTCCCATGTGAACACATGTGCTTCTAATTCATTCTTGTTAAATGTTTAATAAATAATGATTTGTTTGTCTCTTTCTTTTTAATGGACATTTGGTTTATTTTCAGATCTGCTCCATCACAAACAATACTTCTATAGTATTCCTGCATGTTCTCCTTGTGTACATGTGTGAGTTTTCCCAGGGACTATATCTGAGAATGGAATTGCTGGATTACGGGGCATTTCGTCTTTCAGCTTCACTAGATGAGGTTCAGTTGTTCTCCGGAACCGTCGAGCCCATTTGCACCCACGCTGGCAGAGTATTGGACTTCTGATTGCTTCACATCCGAGCCAATACTTGGTATTGCCAGTTTCTTAATTTTTGCTAAACTGACAGGGGTGAAATAATACGTATTTATTGTTTATTTTGCATTTCCCTGACTATTAGTAAGCCTGAACGCCTCTGTACATTTGATTATTTGGGTTACTTGTTTGTAACTTGTCTGTTTCTGTTCTCTATTTATTTTTCTATTGGATTTTGTATTTTTCTTATTGATTTGTAGAAGTTCTTATTTAAAAAGATTTTATTTATTTACTTTTAGAGACAGGGGAAGGGAGGGAGAAAGACAGAGAGAAACATTGACCTTCAGCCCAGGCATGTGCCCTGACCAAGTACTGAACCCGAGACCTTTGGGTTTGTAGGCTGGCACTCAATCCACTGAGTCACACCAGGCAGGGCATGATTTGTCAAAGTTACTTATACTGTATACTACAGATATTAATTTTTCATTTTAAACATTGTAAACACTTCCCCTAGCCTAAAAGTTTGATTTCTAACTTTATTTATGGTGTTCATTTTCACACATAACCACTTATTTAACATTCTTATGGTCATAAAAATAGCATCCCATATTATTATATTAATTCAACAAATGCTTGTCAGCATCTGTTAAGTCCTAGGCATTGTGCTAGGCCTTGGAGAATCAGCAGAAAACAGCACAGATAAAAATCCCTGTTCTCAGGAAGCCTCAAGGATACAGGTAATAAACCAAATAAGTAAGTAAAATTCCTGGCATGTTAGAAGATGACAGTTGCTACAGAGCCAAAGAAAACAAGAGGGAGAGAGGAGGAGGGAGTTCCGGCGATGGAGTGGTTGATTTGGAGTGGGGTGAGTTGGAAGGGCTTCCCTGGGACGTGATATTTGTAGGAAAGATGTGCATGAGGGGAGGGAGGGAGACAGGGGCCAGTGCGGGGGAAGGAGCTCCCTGGTCAGAGGGAGCAGTAAATGCAGCCTCCTCGCTTCCCTGAGGAACAGGAGGGGCATGGCTAGAGCAGAGTGAGTAAGAAGGAGCGTAGTAGGAGCGGAGGTCAGAGAGGTGAGGAGGCGCCACATCATGTAGGGCTTTGCAGGTGACTGTGTTGACTTCAGTTCTTGCTCTGAGGGAGAGGGGGAAACCATTGAAGGAGGTTGGCAGAGGACTGAGACGATCTGAGTTATATTCTGAAAGGATCACTCTGGCTGCCACGTGGGGAACAGGGTGTTGGGGGGAAGAGGGGAAGCTGGGAACCTCGCCAGGAGGCCTCTGCAAAGATCCAGGTGATGGGTGGACAGCCGATGCTGTCTGGACCAGGGTGGCCCTGGTAGAGGTTGTGAGCAGTGGCTTCTGGTTGTGTTCCAAAGGCAGAGCTGACAGGGTTTGCTAAAGGTTTGTATGTGGAATGAGAGAAAATGAAAATTCCAAGAAAACTCCAGGGTTTCTGACCTGAGAGACTGAAGGATGAAGTTAATTGATGTAGAAAAGAGTTCAAGGTGCAGGCTTGGGGGAAAAGAAGATCAGGAATTGGTTTTGTACACATTACGTCTGAAACATCGGTCAGGCGAAGCAGCAGTCTGGAAGTGCAGTGTGTTGGGGTCATTCGACTCAGAGATTCCACAGCATCATCAAAGCCCTTGGTGTCACCCAGCCTTGAAGCTGCCAGCCTCAGAATGCTGGTGATCACACGGGACCCTTTGTGGTCATGTGATGAGCGAAGCAGTTCTGGGTACCATGTGCCAACCTGACAACATCAAGCAAAACCAGGGCATCTTTTCCCCCTCATGCATCTCTGTTTTGTAAGTGAGGAAAAACCTTTCCCAGAGGCCCCCAGCAACCTTCCCACAGGCTGATTGTTCAGGACAAGGTCACATGCCTGCTGAAACCAATTGGTGGCAAGAAGAAGAATACTAGCACCCACACCAGACCAACCAGGATTCACACGTGGGGGCGAGGGAGGCAGCCACTTCCTTGAGCATGTGACTGCCGAGATGACCAGAATCAGGGCTCAGTCTGAGAAGGAGGAGTGAGTGCGGAGGTTCTCCCAGGCTGACTGTGCGCTGGGGAAAAGAATGTAAGCAGAATTTTCAGGTACTGCTGGACATGGGCTCTGAATTGACACTCATTTCTGGAGACTCAAAATGCCACTTGTCTGCCAGTCAGCATAGGGGCTAATGGAGGTTAGGGGATCAATGGAGTTTTAGCTCAGGTCTGGTTTACAGTTGGTGCAACGGGGCCTTTGAGCCCCTCCTGTGGTCGTGTCCCCGGTTCTGGAATGCACAACTGAAGTAGACATAGTCGGGAGTCGGAAATCCCCACATTGACCCCTGACATGTGACACGGTAGGAAAGGCCAAGTAGAAGCCATTAGAACTGTCTTTAAATATAAAAATAGTAAACCAAAACTAATACCATATTCCTGGAGGGATTGCTGATGAGTGCCACCATCAAGAACTTGGAGGATGCAGGGGTGATGATTCCACCTCATCTGCATTCAATGCACCTGTGCAGAAAATAGGTGCATCTTGGAGAATGACAGTCGATTACCACAGGCGATGACTCCACCTGCAGCTGTGACTCCAAATGTGGTTTCAATTCTTGAGCAAATGGACACATATTCTGGCACCTGGTATTGATCTTGCAAATGCCCGTTTTTTTCAATATCCCTTAGTAAAGACCCCAGAGATAGTTCGTACTCAGCTGTCAAGGTGAGTACAAGGTCAGTAATACCCTCTTTATTATTCTACATCAGGGGTATATCCACACTCCAGCCCTATGTTATGATTTAGTCCTTAGGGATCTTGATTTCCTTTCACTTCCACAAGATATCACCCTGGTCCATTATGCTGATGACATCATGCTGCTTGGACTTGACAACAGGAAGAAGTCACTGTGCCAGGCAAAATGGTAAGACGTTTGCATGTCAGAGGATGAAAAGTAATCCAACAAAGGTCCAGGGACCTCCCACCTCAGTAAAGTGTCTAGGGGTCCAGGGGTGGGGGGCATGTTAAGATAGCCCCTCTACCACCAAGAACAGACCCATAATGCCCAGTGTGTCTCCTCAGATTTTGGAGGCAACATCGTCCTCATTTGGGTGTGCTGCTCTGGTATGTTCACTGAGTAACCTTCTGAAGAGCCTCTTGTCTTGAGTGAAGCCCAGGATGAGAGAAGGTTCAACAGCAGGTCCAAGCTGCTATGCAAGCTGCCCTGCCACTTGGCCCACACGATCCTGCGGGTGTGGTGGCAGCAGCAGGTAGAGCCATTGCTCGGAGCCTTTGACGGGCCCCTATCAGTGAATTGCAGCCTGTCCCTATGGTTTTGGAGCAA